GGATTACCTCGCCCATCCAACCGACTCATCACGAATATCGGCTCATACCGACCAGTTGGCACGACCATGGAAGGCACCTGAGATGTCATCTCCCTTGGACCCCATATATTCCACGTGATATTCCCATGAGGCCCCAACTAGCTTCCCCCTTGCAGCTCCACCAGCTCTCCACAGTGGAGAGGACTCATTTTCGCTACGCCCGCGCCGCGTCACAAAGTGTCCCCATAGACGTGTAAGCCTAACCACCGGACTCACGCAGATTTGTGGTGGGAAGATGTGGGTTAACCACATATCAAAGACTTCATCGTTCCGATTAGCATCCCTCGTAACGTCACCTTCGACAGCTACAGCAGACTCATCCGGGATCAAATTCTTGAATTTATACTTCAGGTCAGGTTGCCATGCAATAACTTCCGCATCCTGAAAACAGTGGTGAATGGATGATCTTATTCTGATAGAAAAAAAGGAAATGAGCCAGCCCCTCGGAATCTTCACGCACTTCATTCAGTTTAGCTCTTCTCCACTCTGAATTATTACGGCGTACATCCACTATAAAGGTGTCATTGAACACCGCCCGAGCCACCAGCCCACATGGATAGTATCTTCCAAAATGAAACACCTCAACCTATTGGAGGACCTCCATCGAGGAATTACATCTTCCCACTCACTCCATTCCTCACTGCTGGCTCGCAATCTACCGGTGGGTCCGCCGCCGCTATCACTCTGGACGGATCTAAAGCTATCTGAATGATATCCCCTATACTGTGACAATTTCTTCAGCAATCCCGACAAAGACCCCACCTGCCAGCTGCTCGTCGGACCTCGAGTCGATAAACAGACGATGATTCTGGTAGAAATTAGACAACTCATAATACCTGACACACTTCAACTACCAAGACTACGGCCATTCTTGTGCAGATGTTATTATCGTATCACAGTTCTCATATCACAACAGGACAATGCATTGACGCAGCATAGAGGGAGTTATTCCACTTACATATATATGGGGGCCCTCAACTCGGCATCAATTTCAATTTCGATCACCGCTACGCCGTCAACTGCCAATTTAGTGTAATCCTTCCTATACTCTTGTGCGGAGCTATTGACCTGATAGGAAAATCATTGGCGGGAGCATCGATCATAGGATGGGAAACTATCGTATACCACTCGAATTGACGTCAATTTCAAACGGCTGCAAAACGGACTTTGCAGCTCCCCCCCATAAACGAGGTAGAATAACTGCTATTTGATGAGGTCCCCAAGCTCATAGCAATACCACCATGCTTATAAAAAGATTTAGTCTGTTGCTGTTCTTGTTATTACATCAGACAATATAGCGCCGACCACCAGGATGATAATGCCAACGCTTAGGAATGAGGTCATCACCCACCTAACGATAGATTACCACATTGAACCACAAAAAGACTACAAGTTGGTATACCATTATTACCGTGGGCTGAGTAGAGGTTGACATGCAGATAACCGCTGCTGCATTAAGGAGTTGCCGGCATATTTACGACTTGCTCTTGAGGAGTCGTTAAATGCAGGAGACATATATGATCGCCGTTCTCTCGGTAAACGAACGATATAGCCTAGCAGTTCGAGGCTATCATGGGCGCTACATCGGAAGATGCTAGTCGAGCGGTATGATTATCACATAAGTTTGATGGTAATCATGGAAAAGTTCCCAACAATCCAACATCATTAAAACACTCCACACAACACAGGTAGTATATTAAGTATACGTAACGATTATCATCATCATAATACTGGCGAGCAATAACAGTTGTAGCCAACCGAACCTGTTTTGTATGTTGTGTTGATCAAGCAAAGATATGATTAGTGCACCAGAGCAATAAATAGAGAGGATACGCAATCGAGTAACATTATATATCACCCTCAAATACGTGCACTCCGAAGAATAAATCCACAAGTGCCACAAGTGCATCAAGTTAGCAATCACCAACCTCTGAACGACTGGACAAAGCACGAACATTCCTTCCACTTTAAGTCTTCACGAGGTAAAATCCCAAGAATAAGCGCGTTCAACCAAGCTGACAGTTTGTATATGCTACTACTACTACTACGACAGACTATAGTCTACGGCTGAGATACATATACAATGATAATAGGAGATCCATGGTAATTGGATTAATATCAATAGGAGCACGTCCAACCGACGACTCATCGGCGGCTATCACTCGTTATCATCAGCAATCAATGGAATCTCTATTTTCCTCTGACCACTATGATTATCGTCAGAGAAGAACTCGAATTGGATAGCCTTGGGGCGAATGACCGCCTTTGCAGCACGGTTGGGGCGAGAAGTAGTGTCCTCTTCAGATGAAGTAGTACAATTACTCACATCCGTCATGTAATCAATGAGCGGCCTGAACAACAACGAGACTTCTTTGAAGCCATGGATCTGAACTCACTTTAAAGATTCCTTAAATCTTCTCCCCACCATCATCAAGATATTCTCATCAGCGGTGCCAACCCAAAGAGCTACTTTACAGTTATACTTCCGCATAGAACATACGCTGCCGCAAACAGGATATCCTCTCCTGTAGCCTCGTCGATATAGGTTGAGCCGCCAATCAATGACAGCATCACGTTGAGCCAACTCTCATCAAGCGCCTAAAGAAAAACACGACC